AAATTAAAATTAAAGTAGCATTTAGTATAATGCATTTAGAAGAAAAGATCAAATAATATTTAAATTTATTTGGTTGATTAAATATATATATATATATATATATATATATATATATATATATATATATATATGTATATATATATATATATATATATATATATATATATATTTATATATATATATATATATATATATATATATATATATATATATATATATATATATATATATATATATATATAAATATATATATATATATATATATATATTATATATATATATATATATATATATATATATATATATATATATATATATATATATATATATATATATATATATATATATATATATATATATATATATATATATATATATATATATATATGAGCCCATAAGAGTAAAAGTGGACCAAGTCCATATTTCTATATTGTTAGAAACAAACGTTCTTAGTGTTTGCATATATTATAAATCAGCCATATGTAATATTATTGATGCCTAGTATCATTTTAAATCTTTTTTCTTAGACAACAAGATATGTGAAATGCACAAATAAATTTTTGAATAATTATTAATAATATAATAATAGTTATTGACTTAGTCCATTTTTTCTCTAAACATAATCAACAACTCGCTAAATCATTTTAGTGTAAAATCATGAACAAATTTCATATTAATCGTTTACAATAGCAATTCAATTTAAGACAAGTAGTAAAAATTCATACTATGTTGTAAAAAAACATAATTACTATTTACTAATCATCGGCAAAAATAGTCCTCATTATTACAAACAGTTGCATAAAAACCACACGAATTTACTGATCATCATCGCCGCTGTCATCGAGCAGTTCATCTTCTAGTACGTCCTTGTTGTGACCGCTGTGTTCCAACTTTTGATAGAAGTCATGATAGATGGGAGAAATATACTTTAACAGTTTCATTAGATCTGAGTATTTTTCTTTGCTCAGTTTTGTTGCTCCACAGTACAGTGGAGACAAACTCACTTCACTAAGATTCGTTTGACGTCCGCGTTTCGCTAGCGAAATGAAACTGAATGATGCGTCATCATCTAAAGAGTATTTAAAGAACAGTTTGTATGTCTCGTTCTTTCTAAGTTGCAGCATTTGCATATCCAGCCCGTTGACCTTCTGATCACTCTCATCCACTTTCTTATTTGAAATTAATTTCAATAAGGGCTCCACACTCTTGAAATTATCAGTGCTTAATCTTGCAACACTGAAGCGCTTCTTCATAGAGCAGTTGTCGATCAATTTGTACCAATGTTCTGGCACGAAGATCTCTGTGGATTTTGGTTTTGCTCTCTCAGTTATTCCAAAATCTGCATCGTTAGGCAAATAAGAATGCTCAGAGACCATAAACTTATGATTCACCAGTTCAATACTCGTCGTCTGCGTCAAATGCATCCATAACAGTGCAATTTTTATTTTTCGATTTTGGCCTCCGCACGAGTCGCTGAATGCTGTAATAGACGTAATATCCCTATTTTCCAGATTTTGACAATATTTCAATAAGCATGACCTAATCTCACCTGCACCTCGTGAGGATATTCCCTCATGCCATACATTCATCACTGCATTGTCATTTTTAAGGTCATGAATGCCTAGATTATACACTGATAATTGCCGGCAATAATAAACTTCATTGGTTGTAAGGCAAGGCAATGACATGACCTTTTGCAGGTCAAAACAAAAAGATGCATGTTTATTGTCTTTATTTTTCTTTTCTAGTTTTAAGGATTGACGCGCCTTCTCTGCTTTGCGCAAATGAATCTCATGCGCTGCTTTTAGTTGAGATTTTTTGTATTCAGTTTTTTCTATTTTCAATGTCTGTTTTAAAAATGTCACATTTCTTGCACGAATCTTTTATTGGCTGATGGAACGTCAAGTTAAATTCATGATTAAAAATGTCCCGAAATTTCCACTCTTTTTGGGGTTCGACTGAATCCTGTATGCATTTTTCTCTATACATGTCGTATATAGTGGATACCGTCAAATAAGCATATAGAAAGCGGCGAGATGCACTGTGACTTCTAGTATAGTGACTTTCGTATGTGGGAAACATGCAAATATGATCTTTAATGCGAGTGATGTGTTACTCATGAATGCGTTGTGTCTTGTGATCATATTTTCCTCGTCCATCTTTGACTGACACACCACCTTTCTCCCGTTGGTTGACTAACGCACGATTAAGTCGACCGCGGCTAATGTCAAATATCGCCAAGAAGTATGGTTTGCAAACAGTAACGGGCTTATTATCTGCAAACACAGAGTATACTCGTGCAAAATACTTTGCATGTTTTTTTTCATTTTTCGTAATTTTGTTTTTTCTTACTCTTGGTCGTCTACGTTCTACTGTTGATTGTTTCATGCAGCAAGCAAGAAACAGATTTTGTGCATCAAAATCTCCCAATTTCCAGAAATTTTCAAACAGAGTTTTAGTCTGCTCTGAAGTCAAATTACCAGCACATTTGTTTTTGCAACTGTGATTTATTAAATAATGTTCGTTTAATTTCTTAGCTTTTTGTAACGTTCCGCCATGCTTTACATATTTGCTACCTGTATTTCGTAAGCGCTTAATCACATTTTTCTTCCAGTTTGTTACACAACGTTTTCGTTTTCGAGGGCGTTGATCGGTTACAATCGGAGATTCAGTTGTTACAATCGGAAATTCAACTGCTACAACCGGTGAATTATCGGCTACAATCGGAGATTCAGCTGCTAATGTAGAAAGTTCTGTCTGTATACCTGATGCTAAGTTAGGATCTGCAATTGTTGTATCTGTAGCTGGAGATCTCTGAACCTTCTTGCACTTTATCAATGCCAGTGACACCATGTGTGCGGCTCGTGAATGCATGCTTACACTATTCTACAGAAAATATTTTTAAAATATTACATACATTCAGAATATTATTAGAAAGAATAATGTACATGTACACAACATGCATGCAAGTGCTCCCCTAGCTAGATGTTATTAAAGCCACAAAATTGACCTTTCTAAAGAGGCTGTAACTTTGGTAGTGACAGACCATTATATCTACTGTCTAACAAATCAATATTTATATTCCTGCTGAGAGCAATTGAATAAATCTTATATTATCGCTCACCAAACTATTTCAGTTTTGTCATATATATATATATATATATATACATGTATATATATATATATATATATATATATATATATATATATATATATATATATATATATATATATATATATATATGTATATATATATATATATATATATATATATATATATATATATATATATATATATATATATATATATATATATATATATATATAAATATATATATATATATATATATATATATTTATATATATACATATATATATATATATTTATATATATATATATATATATATATATATATATATATATATATATATATATATATATATATATATATATATATATATATATATATATATATATATATATATATATACATATATATATATTTATATATATATATATATATATACTCTGGTATATATTTATATATATACCTTAGTTTTTAACTTAAAAAATAAAACTTCTATAAACAAAGTTAATTATACAGTTTGCAGTAGTTCAGCTGCATTAGATTAAAATGTTTCAGATTTAAATTTACAAGGCAATTATG